GGAGCACCAAGCTTGGGCTTACAGCTTGCTGAAGTCCCTGGATCTGTCGCCTAGCCATTTGAGCAGGGGATGGTCTGACTCTAAGTTTAAGGCTTTACGTGTGTCCTGTTAAATTGCACTTTTTGAAAACCTAGTTCCTGCTTTTAAGAGGCTTACATCCTAGTTAGGGAAAAGAAAACAGGACATGAATAACCATGATTCCAGACAAAAAGAAAAGGTGCTAAAAACTCTGTCCAAAGGGCTATTTCCTGTGGAGGAACCTTTCCATTTTATTCCATAAATATTGTATTGAGTTCCTACTACAAGAAAGAAAGACACTGTCCTGGGTCCCAACTTTCAGAGTGTGAATGTGCCCAAGAGTGAATGAATAAGCTAAGGAAAAACATGGAGGATACAAACCCAAGCAAGCAAGACAGCTCTGCCCTCAGAGAGCTTCCACTCGGATAAACAATACGTCTAGAGGAGCTTGGCCAGAGAAGTCAGGGTGAATGGAGGGTGGAGTCCTAAGGGGTAATTGGTAGCCAGGGCCTTACCTGGAAAGATAGTTTTGACCAGGTTACTGTCCTCAGAGATAGAATTGAGGGGAGTGTTTGCATGTCTGGCTGTCAGTCAGTCAGTGACCCGGAAGTGATCACTAGTCAGGGCCCAGGGTCCCAGAGGTGGAACCTTTGATTCTGGGTGCAGGTGGAGGCTGGAGAGTAGGTGGCATAGCGTGGAGATGGCTAAAAAGAGCCAAGCAAACAATGAGGAAACCAGGTCCCCGAAAGTGATTGGTGACTGACTTGTCCAAGGTCTCCCCACTCTGTGCAGACTCCCGATTCCCAGGCCGGTCTTGCACTGGGCCTTGACAGGAGATGGATAGAAGTTGGGCAGGCAGAGAGACTAGTGGCTTGGAATATGCAGCATGACAAAGGTGGCTGGGCAGGAATGAACAGGGTGATGAGAAGACTTTCCTGAGTAATAGGCAGGATCCTGAAAGGCCTGAGAGGTAGCTTAACTTGATGACACCGCAGGGGATGGCTCTCAGAGGCTGGGCCCGGGAAGGGTAGACCAGGAGGTGATTGTTTGTCTGTCACCAGAGGGCCTGCCTCATCAGGTTCAGAAGGCCTTCCCCACCCCCCCACCCACGGGTGGAGAGCGCTGGTGCTGATGGAATCGCATCTCATTGGAGTAATTGGGACCCTGGAATGTTTCTGAACCAAAGAGTGACAAGATCAAAACCATGTGCAGCACCAGCAAGGGAGGGGGCCTCTTCAGGTGGGAGGGGTTGAGGCCTGTGCTGGCATTGGAGCGAAAGCAGGCGTCACCAGACTCGGTGACTGTAGGACTGAGAAGGGGAGTCAGGACGGACAGTGAGGTAGCAAGCACACTGCGTCATAGTTAGGGATGCCAGGATTAAGGAAGTCAGAAGGGAGAGCTGCGGTTGAACTGGAGGTGACAGGGGACAGTATGCTGTGATTCCCCCACTGGTAACGGGGTTTTGTGGCTATGTCTGCCTTTCAGCGGTGGAGAGTGGAAAGGTGGAGCAAAGGAGGAAGTCAGACTAGCAAACAAGCTACCACAGCCTTTCTCCTGTTGATAAGGGGAGCTGTCCGGTCAGGCCGTGTACTTGATGGCTCCTCTGTTCTGCCGTGGTAACGGAAGCAGCCAGCGCTGAGAACAGCGTCTGCGGCACAAACCCTGCTTAGAACTGGGCCGTCATTATTCATTTAAATGACAGTTTGCAGTTGATTCACTTGGGCTTTATTGTACATCTGTTCAGAGAGCTCTGAATGAAGTCATCTTCTGAGCCTGAATTAAGGTAATAAATGAAATCTATCTTATTAGAGTGGGAAGGCCGGCTGCTCATTTATGGGATTCACTTAGCAGGTAGCTTTTATTGAGTGGGGAACCAAACCTTTTGCCAAATGTAAAATTTTCAAATGAAGATGAAGCAGTATTTCCTGTTGTTTCTGGCTCCGTAGATGCGGTTTGGGACTGTGGGGGGAATTGAGGCCAACTAGCCAGCCCATAGCCAGAGGCTCCTTTTTGGACACGGAGTCTCCCTGTCTCGCCCGGGTGGAAGGGCAGCAGAGGCCTGATCCCATGATTGATAGGCATGGAGGCTTTGACCTGCTTTGTTTCCAACTTAAGCCAATTTGCCCCTCCATAGGCAGCCTGATGGCCTCCCGCTGCCAGGGGCTCCAGACATGGGTGCTGGATTTAGCCGAGGACACCACATCAGCTGTAGCCCTCCTGTGATTCAGAACTCCTGAACTCAGTCTGCCAGCATCGGCCTCTGCTGGTAGCCACAATTCCAGGCCTGCACTGCTGCGCCTGATCAGCCAGAAGCTTCTGCTGCAGCAAGGCCACAGACAGAGTCCTGGGCCTAGAGATGGAGGCCCAGTGAGCCGGAATGACAGCCCCCTCCCAGCTCTTTCTTCTCTTCCTTCTCCCCCTGGTACTCCACTATAATAATCATAACTCAGATTTTTAGAGCACTTTGCAGTTTACAAAGTACTTGTTTCAGCTTGAAAAGTTCAACGTTGAATTTATTATATATTTTAAAAGAGAAGCAAGTTGTACATAACAGATTCCTTATTTCAAGCACCTTCCTCTTCTTCTGTTCTATTATGTATGTGGAAGTACTGGGGAGAGGGGATTCTAAAACAGAACAAAGCATTTGCCTCGTCTGAGTCCAGTGAGGCAAGTGGCATAACATTAGAGTCCACATTTTATAGGACGGAGAAACCAAGCCCCAGAGAGATTAGGTGGATTGTCTTGGGTCATATCCGCAGTGATTCAATACGAGGGTTCCTGACTTTTACATTTTTAATTTAAAATCTGTTTTCTTGTTTTCTCATCTTCCCCTCCACCACTGGAAAAAAGGAAAAAATAGGGCAGCTAGGTGGCGCAGTGGATAGAGCACCGGCCCTGAAGTCAGGAGGACCTGAGTTCAAATCTGGCCTCAGACACCAAATACTTGACACTTACTAAGCTGTGTGACCCTGGGCAAGTCACTTAACCCCAGTTGCCTAAAAAAAAAAAAGAAAGAAAGAAAAAAGGAAAAAACCCTTGTAACAATACGTGTACTCGAACCAAACAAATTACCCCATTGGCCATATCCCAAAAAAATATGTGTGAGAAGAAGGGCAGCTAGCTTCATCATCTGTCCTGGAATCATGGTTGGTTATTATAGCATTGATGAGAGTTCTTATGGTTTCCAAAGTTGTTTGTCTTCATGGTGTTGTTGCTGTATAAATTGTTCTCTTGGTTCTGCTCATTTCAGTCTGCATCAGTTCACATAAATCTTCTCAGGTTTCTCTGAAACCATACCCTTTCATTATTTCTTACAGCACAAAATAGCCTTGTTAGATTCGTGTGCCGTAATTTGTTTAGCCATTCCCCAAGAGATGGGGAAATTCCCAGTTCTTCCCACCACAAAAAGAACTGCAATAAATATTTTTGTATACATGGATCCTTTCCTCTTTCTTTGAGATTTTATATAGGCCTAGAAATAGTGTATAGCTGGGTCAAAAGATAAGCACAGTTTAGTGCTTTGGAGGTCAGAGGTCAAAATAATAATAGCTAACATTTATATAGCACCCACTGTGTGCCAGGGACTGTGCAGAGTGCTTCACAGATACCCTCCGATTTGGTCCTCACACCAACCCTGGAGGTGGATGCTATTATCACCCCCATTTTACAGGTGAGGAAACTGAGGCAAACAGAGGTTAAGTGACTTGCCCAGGATCACACAGCTAGTAAGTGTCTGAGGTTGGGTTTGAACTCAGGTTTTTCTGACTCTGGGCCCATGCTTTATCCACTGTGCAGCCTAGCTTTCCAGAGTTGCCAGTTGCTTTCCAGAGCGACTGTACCAACTCACAGCTCCCCCAGCAGTTCATTAATGGGCCTGTTTTCCTGAAGCCCCTCTAGCGTTTGTCATTTTCCTATTCTGTCATCTTCCTGTGTATATTGGAACCTCAGGATTGCTTCTGATTTGCATTTCTCTAGTAGTTATTTGTGGCATTTATTCATATGACTTTCAGTGCCTTGGATTTTTTTTTATGGAAGACTGACTCTCTGATTTCTTTTTTTAAACTGTCAATTAGAGAATAGCTTTTGTTCTTATCAACAGGTTTTTAATTATTGAAGTCCTTGCTACCTCATTCAAGCCTATGGTGCAGCTCTAGGATAAATACCATCCTGGAGACAGTTAGGTGGTACAGTGAGGTGAATGCTGGGCCTGGAGTCAGAATACCTGAGTTCAAATCCAGCCTCAGCCATTTACTATCTGTGTGACCCTGGGCAAATCACTTAACCTCGGTTTGCCTCAGTTTCTCCACCTGTAAAATGGCGGTGATAGCAGTACCTACCTTGTAAGGCTGTTACGAGGATCCAATAAAATAACATTTGTCAAGTGCTTAGCACGGCGTCTGGCACGTAGTAGGCTCTTCAATGCTTGTTTCCTTCCTTCCTGTATCATCCTATCTCTTTACAGAACCCCTTTGTTCTCCCTGAAGCCTTAGTTTCAGGAATGGAAGAGACCTTCAAGATCGTATAGTCTGTCTCTCTTGTTCTGCAGATAATAAACTAAGAGGAAATGACTTGTCCAAGGCATTTGGCTCTGGCTAGAGGCATCTGTCTGGGCCTCAGTTTCCTTTCATGTAAAATGAGGAGTTCGGACAAGATGACTTCCAGGGATCCTTCCCAGTCTAGTCTTCGGTCTCCCCATCCCTGTTTTTCCTAGGGCCTTGCCTGATGGGAATGTAGGATGTGTAACAAGTAGGCTTTCTGTCATCAGTAAGTGTGGTTTCACCTAGCTGTCCCCTCACCCTCTTGTGCTCCACCCACTGAAGCCCAGATTTGGTGCAGATACAGTAGACAGGGGCCGGGCGAGGTGAAGGTGGCGAGCCGCCTGGTTAGTCCTGTCATCCTCTTCCTGGCTCCCTCCCCATCCCTTTCCCTTTGTTCTCCCCGGCTCTCGCACTCACGGCCTCATCTCTCCTCCTCCCTCACAGCGGCTGGTGGTCAGCGATCTTCTTCTTCCAGACAAACGCTGCGGCGGCCGTGTTCATGATCTTCCCAGCCATCATGTTCACCCTGTCAGCAGCCATGATGTTTGTGGTCCTTGTCAGGGTAAGTCCTTGGGTGTCCCTGTGGCTTTCAGACCCCCCCCCGGAGTGGTACAGAGTGCGAACCCTCGGGAGCTTTCTTATCCTGTAAGATCCATGTTTCCTTCACAGAGGCCCTGCTTCACTGCAAGAGGCCTTTGGGGGGTGGAGGGAAGCAGGGGCCTCTCCCCACGGGCTGCCCCGCCTGCCGTGATGATCACACATTTCTTCAGTGTTCTTTACGTCCAGCCCATCTCATCATGTACGGCATTATAGATTTAGGCCTGGAAAGGACCTTAGAGGCCATCCAGTACAGCTACCTCATTTTACAGGTGAGGAAACGGAGACAGAGAGGGGAAGGAACTGGCTCAGGGTTGTACAGCGCATCAGTACCTTGGGCAGAATCTGAACCCAGGTCTTCCTATCTCTAGATGAAGCCTTCTATCCACTGCTCTTCACTGCAGCTTCTTTGTGCTTACCATGTACCTTTTTTATTTTTAAAATGCATTATTTTTAAATTTTATTTGGAGTTCCAAATTCTCTCCCTCCCTCCAGCCCCTCCCCTACTTATTGAGAAAGCAAGCAATACGGTGTCAATCATACATGTGAAATCATGCAAAACATATTTCCATACTAACCATGTTGCCAAAAGATGAAGCAAGGAATAGAAAGGAAGTGAAAAAAAGTAAGCACTCAGAGTTCGTCAGTTCTCTCTGGAAGTGGATAGCATTTGCCGTCATGAGTCCTTTGGCATTGCCTTGAGTCAGTGTGTTGATCAGAGCAGCTAAGTCTTTCACATTTCATCATCGTTTCAGTGTTGCTGTTACTGTGTGCGGTGATCTGGTTCTGCCCACTTCACTTTGCATCAGTTCATTTAAGCCTTCTAGGTTTTTCTGAAACCACTTCCTTCGTATTTTCTTATAGCACAATGGCATTCCATCACAATCACATGCCACAGCTTGTTCAGCCATTCCCCAGTTGATCCACCACATATCTTCAACGTCCTTTGGGTCATTTGCAACTTGGATTCCTCGGAGATTGTGTTATTCCAAGATTTGCAGCCACATAGCATTTCCAAGAGAACATTCATGTGTAAAAGGCAGGTCATTGACTGGGGAGCAGCATGGCATGCACTGAGGGGCAGCATCTGTGGCTCCATGGATAGAGCTCTGGCCTTGGAGTCAGGAGGACCTGAGTTCAAATCTGGCCTCAGACCAAACACTTGACACTTACTAGCTGTGTGACCCTGGGCAAGTCACTTAACTTCAGTTGCCTAAAAATTAAAAAAAAATTTTGAAGAGCACCATTGAGGGGCAGCCTGGGTGGCTCCATAGATAGAGCTCCAGCCATGGGGTCAGGAGGACCCGGGTTCAAATCTAGCCTAAGACACTTGACACTTCCTAGCTATGTGATCCTAGGCAAGTCACTTGACCCCAGTTGCCTCACCAAAAAGCACCCCCAAGTTTCCCACATACGGTCCCTTCTGCTACGATTTCTTCTTCTTCTCCTCTGTGTCCATATCATCGTTCACAGGTGCCTAGGCTCGTGTAGTTGCTCCATGGACAGGCTGTCCAGGGCTGTTAGAGGCTGCATGGTTGGCATTTTTCATCCCTCTGTAGATTGCTAGATCAGACAGTCTCTTTCATATAACCATGTTCCCATCAAGGAAGACCCAAGGTGTTTGAAGCCATTGTGGGTCAGACTGGCCACCAGCAAGCGCATTAAGAGGGTGCCGCTGTTTTCCATCGGGCCCTGCACAAGCGTCCTCTGGGACTGTAGCAGAATACCTGCTTCCTTGTTGCATGGTTCACTGGATGGTGACTCAGGGATCACTGGACAGAATTCTCCCTGTGGCTGCACTTATCAAGGATTCCCCTTGGGCCTGGCCCTTGCATGGAAGACCCCCCGTTGACTCCAAAGAGGCGTTTTTAGCTGCTGAGCCCAGGGATTGAGGGTTTTGTTTTGTAAGCTACAGGCACCAGACCCTCATCTTGCTCTGCAGTGACTGGAAAGGGGACCTCTGCAGGAGAGGTGTTCACCCCAGCTAGCCTGTCTGGCCTGCTCAAATTGCATCTCTCCAAGGGTGTCTTCAATTTCTATGGAGACTATTCTTCTAAAGTGGATCCGAAGATGAGAAAGGTCTGTGGGTCAGTTAAAATTCACTCACTCATCTTTTTAGGCATTACTTAATTTGAAATTTCTTTCCCCTTCTCTTGACGTCTTCTTCCTGAGGTGAATTTTGCTTTTGAGAGGGCCTGAGGTGTCAGGGTCCAGTGGTGGCAGTTCCTCTGTCACTGATGACAAAATTATATTGTCCGAGAAACGAGGATGGATTTTCTCCATTTTACATCTACTTGTTGTCCTGGCAGTCTCATCTCTGAGCCCTCTTGGGTGATGTGGCTCTGTTGGGTCTCATGCCAGACTTTCTGTAGACCCACTTGTGATTCCCTTGCTCTGGAATATGGTTTATTTGGGCCTGGTGGCTAGCTTCCCTCAGTGGCTTTCTCCTCACTTACCTTGGGTTTCAGTTCTCTGTTATCCACTTTTGCTCCTGAAGATAATTCTCCTTGTTAGGGAAAAACAGAAGCAGAAAAGGAGTTGGGTCATTCTGTCTTCTTTCCTGCCTTATTATCATCGGTCCTAATCCCTCTTTGTTCTTCTGCCTCTAATCTAGCTTCTGAAAAAGCCAGTGGCTTTCAGGGCTGCAGCTCTGGCTCATTCTGGCCTTTAGCACTGACATTCTCTCAGGGCCCTTATGTTCTTTTGTATTCATTCTCTGTCAGCTGCATTTCCTTTCATTTTTCTGTATATCTCTTTTTAAATAAACTCTCAAATTTCTGGATCAGTGCCCTACCAGCATGCCAGCCTCTCTAGACAATTCCCCCTTTTCTTCTTCACCACAATCATTTTTGTGTTGCATCATCAGAACTTACTCCTTGGGAGCATCTCATGTATTTGTTCAGCCTCTAGAAGCTGGAGGTCAGGGGATCCCCACTTTACTTTCATTGGCCTGTTTGGTGGAGTCTGAAGAGAAGCACCAGACCAGGCCCAGCAGCTTCCCTGTCTGTTTATTTCAGAGTGAGATGTCGTGGTCCCTGTCTCCCAACACCCTGTTGTTGGAAACTCGGGCAGCAGCTCAGTCTGAGTGGCCCTCAACAGAAAACTCTTTTGCTGGTTCTCCCACCTTCAGGGCGATGAGATGAGTTATTTATCCCCAGCAGACAAATTGTCAAAGGATATGAGCAACTAAGAAAAAAAATGGAAAATAAAGACTGTAAATAAATGCTTTATATATAAAATATACTTGTTGACTTAAGCTACCTCATTAAAAAATTTAAGAAAGGCAAGTTCCATGATGCTGGTTATCACCTCACAGACATCAATCAAAATGACAGAATGCAGGGTTTCCAGAACTTTGGAGAAACAAGTCCATTTCCCTTGCCCACTGGTGTGGTCTTTCTGTAAGCCCCATGTGACGGTACACAAGAAAGTCATAGACTTGACTAGGCTCTGTCCTGAGATTTTCTATCTGTGCTCTCTCACTTAGTGATCTCATCAGCTCCCATGAGTTTAATTGTCTCTGTGCAGTTGACCCCCAGACCTATTTGCCCAGCCCTAGTCTCTCTCCCAGGCCATAGCCCTGTATCACCAACTGCCCATTGGACATTCTAAACTGGACATCCCAGAAGCTTCTCAAACCTGGAGTGTCCAAAACAGAATATTATCTTTGCCCCAGAAATCAACCGATCCTTGACCCAATTTCCCTGTTTCATTTGGGTACCACCAGCCTCCACGTTATTCTCAGCTCCTCAGCTCCCTTGCCTCATCTGATTCATCCAGTCAGCTGCTGGATCCTACCATTGCTATGTCCAGAACGTCTTTGAACCTGTTCCCTTCTCACTACTCCTGTGTCGTCCCCCCAGCCCTAGTCTCCTCTCGCCTGGACTGTTACTGTGGTCTCCTAATTGGTCTCCCAGTCCCTCATGCCTCCTTTCTCCAGTTTGCCCCCTACACAATTACTAAAGTGATTTTCCTAAAGTATAGATGCTGACCATGTCATTCCCTACTCCATAAAATTCCATAGTTGCCCATTGCCTGCGGGAAGTTCCTCCAGTTTCTAAAGCCCTTCCCATTTTCTGCCGCTGAGCCAGACTGGCCTCCTTGCAGTTCCTCTCCCGACTGACCGTGTCCTGCCTCTGTGCTCCCCCCTCGCTTTCTCCACGAGCCTTTCCTGGCCCTGTCTTCTTTGTATTTCTGCACACCCCCCCTCCCTAGCACTAAGCACGGGGCTCTGCGTGCGGTAAGTATTTACCAAGCCTGTGTTGTCATAACTCCTTTTTTCCTATGAAATTACTTACTAACGATAATCTCCATGAAGTTGAGGCCATTGAGTATGTTGGCCAACACTGATTAGACTCCAAAAACAGAAGGAGCTTGTCCCTCCTGACTCCCTTCCTGGGTCCCATCTTTCTTCCAGGTGCATAGATTCTACCGTGGCTCTGGGGGCAGTTTCAGAAAGCCCAGGACGAGTGGACCACCGGCAGCTGGAGGAACCCTCCCACCAGGGAAGCGCAGTTCAGCAACTTTTCAGGCAACAGCCTGCCCGAGTACCCCACGGTGCCCAGCTACCCCTCTGGGAGCCAGTGGCCCTAGACGGAGCCCAGGGCCTCCGCCCCTGCCTGGTGCCCAGCTGAGCCGGCACCTTCCTTCTGCTTCTTTTGATTTGAAAGGTTGTTTGCATTTATTCTCCCCACCCCCTCCCCCATCATCCAGTGGGGGTTGGAGAGGGGGGTGAAAGGTTATTTTACTTTTCTGTGGAAGAGACCAGGCTTCCCCAGCAATGAGGTTCCCTTTGGAGTTTGGCCCGTAACGTTTATCTGTGCCTGGCTGCCAGTATTTGTTCATATGACTTAGTCACTTTGCTGTCGCTGGCCAGGGAGCCTTCTGCACCCAGCTTACAGCAGTGACAACATGGCCTCCCCAGAACGGCTCTGTTGACCTTGGCCATTCTTACCCTGAGGACCCTGTGCGATGCCCTTCCTTCTTCCTCTTCTGTTAAGCCCATCAGAAACCCCAGACTCAGCAGGAGTCTTCCCCAGGAGTCGTGGGTTGGGGGCCCTAGCCTTGGACACCCCTTCTTTCTCACCCTGACAGCTGAGCAGGAGTCAGGTTCAGACAAACTCTGGGGCCCGGCAGCACCCCCTCAGGAGCCATAGAATGACTTTCCATTTGGAAGGAAGTGAGAGAACTGAGAATTACCTAAGGCAAGACTGAGTCATCCAGACGCAGCCCTGTTGGCAGAAGAGCCTGATTTGCAATTACTCTGCATTAAAAACCATAAAGATTATTTGAAATTCCACCGTCTCCCGCTCTTCCCCCTGCCAAGGTGCATAGTGCACACGTTGGACTTGCCAGTGGGGGAAGGCCCCGTGGCAGGAGGCCCTCCTCAGAAGATGCTGCAGACTGATCCCTTCCCCCCGTCTTGGGCCATTGTGGTCAGCCTTGATCAGGCCGAATCACTCTTCTGGGCGATTCTTTGTCACCAGCTGCCAGATCATCTCTTAGAAGCCTCTATAACTTCACCCTAGACTAATAACATAGGAAGCTCATGGGGCTTTTGTATTGGATTGGTTAGGTTTGGTTTCAGGGGAGCAGTTTGCCAGGATCAGGAACTTTCTACAAAGACAGATAAATTGAAATCCCTTCGTTGAGTGAATCGCTGGAGAGTGGGCAGGCATTTTCTTGGACTTGTGAAAGGAGTATGAGGGTCTTTTCTACATTTGAGCAAAAATAAAAAGATGAAGGGAAAACTTTTTTTTTTTAACTGAAGTCAGGTTAGGGAAATTGCATATTGGTGCACTTCTACAGCCCATGTCCTGACAAATACTGGACTAAAGTCAGAAGATTCCTCACCCTTGGAGGCCTTTTCAGGAAGTATGGTGGTCTTCCTTTCTCACTTACAAGTTTGCATTACAATTCCCTTTGTCTTAACCAGTAATATATTTGGGGCTGCTGAAGGGTTCCCAGGAACACAATATCATCTTGTCATCTCCCCTTGATTTTTCCTTCCAGTTATTGACTCAGGTTTGGGGCCAGAGTGAGGACCTGGGCTAGTTTGTGATCTCTTTCGTCACAGAGCCGGCCTTCTGCCACTGGATCCCCAGACACTTTGTGACAGGTTCTCACAAATCCAAGCTCGAAGGCCGGGCTGGGGTTTTCTACAAACATGATTCTCATACGCTCATGACAATACCGTACAGCTGTCTCCTGGTGCAAGAGCCTCAAATGGAAGGAACTGGGGAGGCCAGGGGCTTCTCCCTGGGCCTCAGAGACAGCTGTTTGGCTGTAGCCCAAGAGTGGGAGGCTGACCCAAAAGCTGAGCTCTCTGGTGGGTTGTTCAGTTCCCCATCATCCCCTGCAGCCTCGCCCAGCAGGGCAGACCCTCGGAGGGCCCCGAACTGCTCTCACACGTTGACCTTGCCCTCAAGTGAGCTTTCACTGGAAAAGAATTACTACAAGTCTATGTGCCTTAAGAAAGAACTAGAAAAACTTTTTTTAAAGATTTTAGGTGACAGGTTTTGTCCTCTTTTTAGTCAGTTTTCACATTTTCCTAAAGGATTTTGTTACCATTTACAGAACTGAAATTGACAGGGAGTCACTCGAATCTGTGGGACACCTTTGTTAACAGGCCAAAAACCAAAGTTTTCTAACTTTTAGCACAACGACAAAGGCTCCCTCAGATTGTTGTTCCTGAGATGTCTGTGGCTCCCCCAGAGCAGTCATCACCTTCATTTCCTCTCCGTTCCCAAAAGATGATGGCTGCTTTCCCACTTCACTCCTTTGTAAACACAGAGACTGCTGCCGTATTCTCCCTCCCCTCCCTCTATGTGATGTGCGCAGAATGAACGTTCCAGGTGACTGCCGCCTCTGTCCAAAGCGGGCAGACTACATGGCCTCTCATTGCCTGTTACGGGACAGGAGGAATCCACCCGCCAGCAGCAGGTTCTGAGCCCAGAGCGCTGACCTGACCTGCTGGCCTGCCAAGAACCACCGTGCAGAACACTGGCTTGAAGGACACACTGTGTAAACCATCGTGGCTTATTTTTGTACTTATTTTTTTAATCTATATTTCTATTAGACTTGTATGGAATTAACCCTGGGTGAGGGGAAAATAGTTTTTGGAGTTAGCCAACAGGTTTGTTTCCTCTCCCCTCTTTTGCATCATGTTATATTGTGGTGGTTTTTGTTATGCGAAATCATCCTTAAAATAAATCCTTTTTCTGCATCAGACTGGATGGAGTCTGCTATGGTTGTGGTGACTGTGTTTTTTAACATGTGCATGTATTTGTTCGAAGGAAAATGAACAGAGGAAGGCAGGAATCAGGCCGTGCAGGGATAGGGTAAAGAAACTAGGCCTGATTAACCAAGAGGCCAAGACGGGTATGGGAGAGTTCTCTTCACCTAGGGAAAGTCTGTCCTAGTGAGGATTATTCTTCTTGGCCCTTGAGAACAGAACTTGGAACAAAGGGAGGGATATTGTGGAAAGGCAGATCTTGTAGATTGCCAGGTCTAAAAGGGGCCTAAGCTATGTGACCCAGGCTAAGTCACTTAACCCTGATTGCCTCACCAAAAAAAACCCTAATAATTTTTAAAAAATGAAAGGGGACTGAGAAGTGACCTAGCCCAACTTCATTTTACAGAGGGGAAACTGAAGACCAGAGAAGTGACTTTATATGAGGTTATACTGGCTGTTTCATAGAAGAGCTTAATCCCAAGAGGTCCCCCTCCTATTGCCCTAAGATGCTTCAGAGCAATAAAAACTAAACAGATTGGACCTCCTTTTGTGGTAATGAGCTCCCCATCACTGAAGGGTTTCACATAGTGAAGAGACAACTTGTTGGCAGTGTTCAAGTAGAGATTGAGATGCCTGGCAAGGCCCCTCCCAATTGCCCCTGAATGCTCTTTATGTTTACAAAATAACTACCTTTCACCTGGATAGGAGTAATTGATGAACCTGGATAATGAAGTCCAATTTTTCCAAAATCTGAAAGAAAATGTAGAAGAGCATAACCTACCACCACCATCTTCACCACCGCTGTCCTTGAGCATCTGCATGAGTGCCCCCCTGCCCTAGAGTCCAGCTGTGCAGCCCCTCCTGCCAGTCCCAACAGGCAGAGCAGCCCTAAACGCAAGAGCCGGGGAGCCCGGGTCAGGCAAGCCACACAAACCAGGCCTTGACAGAAGAGCCTTCTTTGAGTCTGTGTTTTCTCTTAAGCTCCTGAAGAGGAAAATAGCGGGACCTTGGCGAGAAGCGCGGCTAGCTCTCCTGGCCAGCAGACTGAGCGAGTAGGGGCCATCTGTGCTCACTCATTGCATCACCCTGTTTTTACTTAAAGCAAAGAAAGAGCAGTTTCTTCCTCACCGATCTCTCGTTTGGTATTAAGCCAACACCCTGAGTGAGAACCTTCGAAAACCAGTCTGACCTTTCTCATTGCTGCTTCCCCCAGACCTGGCCCAGGGGTGGCAGAGGCTGGGCCCAGGACGAGGATGAATCTGCCCTCTGGGAGCTTACACCAAGTCATGTAGGTGTAGCGATAACTGTGTGTATGTGCTTAGCGCCAGGTGAAAGGCCTTCCTCCACCCCCCACCCCACCCCCAACTAAACTGTCACCTAATTGTTTTTTCTGTCTCAAGCAGGCATCTCCCCACTCCAATAATAATAATAAGGTGCAGTTATATGGTTATATAATAACTACATTGTTATAGAATGCTTTCAGGATTAAAAATGGGGGGGTGTTATCCCCCTCATTTTTTCAGATGGGGAAATGGGTCAATAGAGTCTTGGTGACTTGCCCAGGGTCAGACAACTAGGAAATGCCTCATTGGGTTTCAAACCAAGGCCTTGCCTGACCCTGACTGCCACTCCAGGGTTCTGTTTTCTGAGCTACTCAGCCACCATCCTCCCTAGAAGCTACAGGTGCTCTAACTCCCTAGAGCATAGGCCCGACTATGAAATTCTGTTCAATCATCTCCAGGCTCAAATACAGATCCCTCTGGCATTCAAAGCCAGGTCTTTCATGGCCTGACCCCAACCTACCATTTCAACCTCAAACCATATGTGACTATTTGTTTGTTTATTTATTTGTTTAGCAATTGGGGTTAAGTGACTTGCCCAGGGTCACACAGCTAGTAAGTGTCAAGTGTTTGGTCTGAGGCCACATTTGAACTCAGGTCCCCCTGACTCCAGGGCCGGTGCTCTAGCCACTGCGCCACCTAGCTGCCCCAATATGTGACTGTTTAACACTAAGTATATCCGATGTGGCCTTGCTATTCCTCCCACAAGACACTCCACACCTTTGCATGGATTGTCCCCCTCCTAAACCCTGTCCTACAGTGTGGTCCCTCACCGCCTTTGCCTCTTTGTACCCTAGGAGCCTTCAAACATCAGCTCAAATACCACCTTCATGAAGCCTTCCCTGGTGCCCCCAGCCTCTAGTGCCCTGCCCTCAATATAACCTTGTAGTTAATGTGTGTGGTTTTGCATTTACTTGTTCTGTTCATGCTTCTGAATGTTTCCATGTTTCTCCCTAGAGAATGTAAGCTCCTTGGGGGCAAGGACTTCTTTGTCTTTCTATACATAAGGCCTGGCACAGAACAGACAATAAATGCTTGCTTGATTGATTCAAGTCTGGGTCCTGGACAGTCTAGGGGAGCCCGTTTCCAGGCCTGGGAAAGAAAGAGGGCCCTTAGG